ACACTCACACACTCACACACACACACACTCACACTCTCTCTCACTCACACACACACACACACACACACACACACACTCACACACACACACACACACACACACACACACACACACACACACTCACACACACACACACACACACACACACACACACACACACACACACACACACACACACACACTCACTCACTCACTTTGTGTATTGTAAATTTGGACCTTGTAACATTTACTCTTGCTAATGATTTGTAAAGTAATTTTACAAAAGAAAACTGTGTAATTCTGCCTGTTATTAGTGATAGAGTGTGATTGATGGGTGACAGGCTTTTTGAGTTGATTTAAGACTGTATGAAGTGTTTTAGTGCATTCTGAATGTAAAATAATAAAATAAAAGTTGGTTAGAAGAACTGCAAAAAAGACTGAGAAAAGTGTCCTAGCGATCATTTCTCTACTTTGGAGTCAGTGTGCTGCACTTTGTCTAATTAAAATGTTTTTTTGTTTTTTCCCTAACTGATAATCATTTATATAATCAGTGTCCTCAATGCAACTTTCATCTGTCAGTGGTTTGTATCAATGACATCATGCTGCAGGAAGTGACATCAGCGGGCGTGGCGAGCGTCAGTGGATGTGGTTTGTCTGGATGTGCTCATGATGTTTGTTCACCGGCTGATGTTTAATTCAGTTCCTCGTGTTTACAGTCAGACAGAAGAGACTCGTTTACTGCTGAATGGAGAGTTCATTCATGATGTGATAAACAGCTCATTAGGAGCCCGGGCCCCTCCTCGACTTCAGCCGCTCTATTATTATTTCTGTTCGCCGGTGTCACGCTGAGATGGAGAAAGCTGACGTGTGTTTGTGTAAACGCGTCTCCGGTGGCTCTGCTCGCCTGTAATTGGACTAATTGGAAATGTTCTAACTGAACTATAGAGCTGCTCTGTTCTGATTACATTACAGAGAAGATGAAAAACAATGGATGGTTTGGTTGAAGAAATGACTTGAAGTGTAAAAGATTAGAGCAATATTGATAAAAACAAAAAATGGACACAGTTTTTAACACATCACTAATAATAGTTTTCAGTTATGTTCTGAACAATGATGTTGGACATAAATCTCCCCTGGTTTATTAAAACAAACTGTAGGAACAAACCAATTGATTAAAATGAATCAGAATTCCCAACGGTGAAAATGAGGATGTGCTTTCTCCTTTAGAACTGGAAGATAAACATCATGCTGAATCCTTGAAATAAACTGATATTATTCATGTTTATTCTCAGTGTATTAATATCTCGACACATTGAAGGTGGAATGTAAGGTTAGGCTGCCGTGTGTGTGTGTGTTGGTGTGGGTGTGTGTGTGTGTGTGTGTGTGTGTGTGTGTGTGTCCGGGGATCTCTGCAAACACACCGGTATAATTGGGTGCACATGGGAGACACTGAGATCCAGCTAGTCAATACATGAGAGGAACTCCATAAATAGACTAGTGCAGTGAACCAAAGTCAGCAGTAAACATACACACGCTTACTTTACCACAGTATATGACTGACGCGTGGATGCAAAATACCAACTGTTCTTGGCTATGGTAACAAACAGTGCAGAACGGTGTATCTGAGAGTGAATGCTACTGTCTCTATTCACAATTACTGTTCTGTGTTTGATTTGAAATTATACATATTCAGACTCATGTAATTAATAACAGATTCTGACCTTAAATCAGTTGATAGACCAAAATAAACAGAACATTCTCCTAATGATAGATAGCTAGATCTATCCTAACCTCAGTTTACTCCATTACAGCAGAGAAGGACGACACCAGTCGATCTGATTCACTTCTGTCTGTAACAGCAATAAAGCATTTGATGCTGTTGAATGTTGTAGTGAACACCGTGAGCCAAACTCCTCCAGTGCGTTAATACAGAGTGTGCTTTAAAGCCTCGCTTCACATGGTGCTTTCATAAACTAAAGTAACAGGAACCCAAGCTTTTCTTTCTCTGCAGCTGAGACCATCATGAGACCTGGTGAGATGTGGAGGTAAAAACGCAATCGATTCGTGCCATTGTCCCGCGCACACACGCGCTCGGTGGGAGTCTCTCTCTGTTCCGCGCAGATGGCAGATGGATCCGGTTCCAGACGGACTCTGTGCCGGGTTTTCGTCCCTCCCTCTTCAGATCAATGAAGTCTCATCGCCGAACTCATCGCGCACAGAGAGCGAGCGGCGCGGCGTGGCGCGTCAGTCAGTCAGAGGAACCGCCGCGTGCGTCACGACCGGGATCGAGGATGGAGAATCGCGCTGTTTAACGACACGGTATCGCTCGCGCTGATCGTTTCCATTCACGGGAGCGCAGGATCCTCAATCGCGCGGATTGATTGATTGATTGATTAGTAGCGGATTTTGCGGTGATTTTGACCATCATGGGCTGCGTCACTGGAGATATTCACCGGAGCAGACTTTACGCACTCCTCATCGGGCTGCATGTTCTCACCGGTGTCTCCAAAACGCACGGTGAGTCGGTCTTTACACTCTTTACTCGTTGCTCACGCTCAGCGGGCAGGTTTTACGCACTTCATGGATGGATAAGTTGGATTTTCCTCTCAAGAATCCGGCTGAACGCGAGCGCGCTGCGGAACGCTTGATCGGGGCGACGCGCTCCGGTTGCTCACTGGCTACTGGTTGGCCACTGCTGGTTTTAAGTTGGATTTTCCTCAGTGTCTCGTTGTGCAAATGTGAATGTGCTGCTGTTGGATTCAGCGCTCCTGCTGCTTAATGGAGAGACCCAAACACACGCGCAGTATTCACTCTATCGGAGCATCTTGTTGCGTTTCTGTCATCGCTTTAGTGTGTCGTAAAGTTGTATTTCATGACGTCAGGTGGTGAACTCATTATTATTATGATGCCATGATGCTGTATGTGTGACTGTCAGCAGGTGCTACTGATGCGGTTGATCCGTGACGCGCGTCCTGATCGATGCGTCGCTGCGGGACGCGCGGTGCAGGATTGTGTTTGTTGTATGTAGCTCGTGTATTCTGCTGTGAAGCTGCATTAGGTGTAAAGCAGAGCAGAGGGAATGTTCTGGAGGTTCAGCACGAACCCCTGCGCCACCACTGAGCTGCTGTATTTACTGGTGACGCCAGCAGAGGAGCAGTGTTTCACCGCGGTCCTCCACAGCCGTGCACCAGAAGCACTCGCTCCATGCTGCCGTTCATGTAAAGATTTGCATATGTATAGCAGGCTAAACGGCTAGATCGAGGATTTATTTACATTTATTCACTCCGCATTTGACGCGCATCTATCAGACGCTTTTATTCGCAGCATCAGGTGGCAGCAGCACGAGATCTAATGCAAAGCTCCAGTGTTCAAAGCAATAAAGCCTCGAATAGAGATTAAAAGAAGCATGCATTGCTTGAAAGTTGAATCACAAATCTTGTTTTGGTCAGATTCGTTAGTTAATTAGATTATCTGATTTGATCTCCGATGGCATGGTGCTTTATTGATGTCCGCGGTTCCACGAAGAACCTTTAAATAAACCACTAAATGTTCTTTCACTCTTAAAAATAAAGGGTTTTCAGCAGAAACCTTTCAGTGATCAGTTCCTAAAATAACCTCTCTTTTTTTTTAAGAACATTTGAGAACCTCTTCCACTATAAAGACTGTTTTGTGCAATGGAAAGATTTAATAAAGTCCAGTAAAGAAGCTTTATTTTGTACTGGTTCTTCAGATTATTAAAACTAAGGAAAACAAACGTTATTTTAAGAAATACACTGAAAGGTTATTTAGGGAACCAAAAATGGTTCATCACTCTGAAAAACAACCCTTTCTTTTGAAGGGTCTGGTTCCTCAGAATAATCAACATGTGTTGCACCGTCATGGAAAACATAAAAACATTGGATCATTTCAATATTTGCAGGTCTGGAAACTTGTTATGCATTTATGCTGATCTAGAAATCACTTGGAGTTGCATTCTGTTGTAATCGATTCATGCTTTATTTCCAGTTCGTGTGAATTCATGTAGGGTTCGATGGCTCATACTGTTGCTCTTTGTCTTCACTGGTGTCCAGTTTCTTGTGTCCGTAAAATCATTCTGTTTGAGAGCGTGTGATGGTAATACCGTTGTGTGATCTCTAATTACCAGCTGACAGAGAACATTCTGGAAAAGTCCTGAACAAACCAGTAACGACGACAGAACATTTATTTAGTTGTCTGGTCTTTAATAACGTTCTCAAAATGTTAGCAAATAATTTTTTAATTGAATGTTTTTAAAAACATTTTTGTCAGATGCTCTTCTAACTTTTTTTTGAACATTAACAGTAGTTACAAATTTTAAACATCATTCCAAAGTAGCGTTCCTGTAATATTTACAAAATGATACAATTAGATGTCCCCTTAAATCTTCCTCTTAAATTCACATAACCAATAAAAGTGTTTCAAAAAGCAGAACATTCAGAAATAGCGTTTTAATGGGAACGTTAGCAAACTGTGTGTTAGTCAGCAGAGTTTGAGCTCCAGACATGAATGATCCCTCAAATCATGTGCATTGTTGACTAAGTGCGCTAAATGATCTGAGTTTTGACTTTTAATGTCCCATCATCAACCTTCTGATCTTCTGCTGATCCCGCGGGTGAGTCTGAAGCTCCAGCGGTGTGTTCATCGATGGAGCATCGCTCCGTGTTTGTCAGAGGAATCGTTCTAAACGCATCAGACACGTTCTCCTCATCGGCTCGGTTCTGCAGCAGGTGTCTGCACGCTCTCGCTGCTTTAGCTCAGTCTCTTTTACTCTCTTTGTATCCAATTCCATGCTTTTGTTTGCGGATCGATCCGTGTTCAGGTATTACACGGAGCTGAGCTACTTCTGAAGTAAATCACTAGAAGTGATTTTTTCTTCAATCAGGTGAAGCGGGCGACTGTCTCAGACCCGTCGGCTGGCGCTGGTTATTAAAGCAATAAGACGCGCAATTTATAACAGCTAAGGGGTGTTGTTAGTCGGAGCAGAGTGCCCAAAACCCCCTTAGCTGTTATAAATTCACTGTAAACCACGGCTTCACGGGGTTTATTGCTTTTATAAAACGGTTGTACCAAGGTTTCACAAAATAAAACGGAGCAAATAAAGTGTAATGATATTAATAAAAACATATTCTTCCACCAAACAATGTAGCTCCTCAGAAACAGTTGTGGTTGCCGAGCAGCAACAGAAACGAAGAGGTGTGTGTTTGTAGAGTAATTTACAACAGCTTAGAACGAGGCTCAGCCAATCAGAATCAAGCACCGGAGCTAATTCAGTGTAGATTCTGGCAGTGGTTGTTTGCATTGCTGCATTGTGTGAATGACTCTGTTAGGATGTTTATGTTCAGATCCACCTACAGCTTCCCACAGCCAGAAACGCAAGCGTACGGTTTGTGAAACGGGACGCAAGCACGCAGGATTCTCAGGAGAGATGTGTGTTTACTACAGGAACACTTTCACACACACTCAATTACAGCAACATACACATACATTCATTCATTTATTCATTCTGTTTTTCATAGGAAACCATATTGTTTTATGTAATAGATTGGGTAGTGGAGAAATGTTTTCAACCTTATTTTTTTTGTAGAAAATGTCCGTTGGAGTAATATAGTTTACATTTCATTTCTCTGATTAGGTTGTGTTTCATGGCTGTGAGAATGCAAATAGCTCTGTGTAAATCAGATGTATGAGAAATAGACTGCATGTATGTTCAGTGTATGATGTGGAACAGCAATAACAAGTTAATATTGAGTAAAATATTGCCATTACCTTTCGTTTTGCTTGTCAACAAAAATAGTCTCCGCGAATCATTGCAACAGTAGTGGTGTTTAGTTCCTAAATGATTCAGTGCTGTTGAACGAATCAGTTGAGTCAGTGATTCAATGACTCACTCATACTGACAGTTGCTTGTTTCATTCCTAAATGATTCAGTGCTGTTGAACGAATCAGTTGAGTCAGTGATTCAATGACTCACTCATAGACAGTTGCTTGTTTCATTCCTGAATGATTCAGTGCTGTTGAACGAATCAGTTGAGTCAATGATTCAATGACTCACTCATACTGACAGTTGCTTGTTTCATTCCTGAATGATTAAGGGCTGTGGTGGTTTATTAAGTAGTAGTGTTCAATTAGTGTTATTAACAGTCAGTATTGAGTCTCATATCCATTAACAGAAACATATTTCCAGCTGATCCTTTGAGCTCAGTCAGTCTTTGAATCTTCGAGTCTTTGAATCGCATCTCTGAAACACTGTTTGATCAGAGACTTTGACGTGTTCTGCTGCAGAATCACATGCAGCAGATGACGGACAGCTGTCAATCACTCCATCACTGAACACTGAAACTAATCTGACAGATAACCGAGACGTTTATTTGCATCGTGAGACTTGATTTAATATGTTTAATAGAGTTGCTGCTTTCTCCCCATTCAGTGTTGTTGGTTCGTAACCGCAGTATCGCAGTGTTTATCGGAGGTTTAAAGTCCTTGTGTCAGTCAAAGATGGCGTGCTGCGCTTGTCATTTTCATAACTCCTCTCAAGAGCTCTTGAGCTCAACAGCTAATCATGCTGTGAATTAATAACTACACTTTTCCTCCTGTGATGCTGCATGACGGGAGACTCTTCGGCGTGGTCCAAACGCTCTTGTGCATCACTGATCTCCGTAAGTGCTCATAAATGCAGCCGCTGTGCTTCAGTGAGAGCGTCAGAAGCGCACACATGTGAGGGTGAAACGCTGCTCCAGGGTCAGCGATGCACCGCAGACCCTTATGTGCTCTGGTTCTGTGTCTGCAATCCTGCATTCATATCATGTGCTTACAGTGATTTAAACACGAGTGAAGTGTGGCAATGCTTGTGTTTGATTGTGAACGCACCATTTTCACATTGCTCTGAGGGTCTTTTTTCCCTATTTGTCTCAAATGAATGATTCAGTGTATTTGAACGAATCAGCTAAATCAATGATTCAGTGACTCACTTATAAAGACTCAGTATTTTTGAACAAATTGATTCAGTCAA